TTTTATTTTGCACTCTGTATTGCTTTTGGATCCTTGCTGACATCTGGTTCTTGAATCCCAACACAACACTGGATTTGGAATCTAAAAGAATGCCTTCTAGAGGTTTTTCATAACTTCTTAGTTTTTGTATACTTATGTCCCTAATTGTAAAGCTCCCGATCTTGTATGCTTCATTGATTGCTTTCTCAATCTTCTCTGTCACCCTTAATGACTTGAATGCACATACCATCAAGATCCTCTGCTGTTGTATCCCCTTTGGAATTAGTTGTCTCTTATTCTTTTAACTAAGATGTATCACAAGCCTGTAATGTGGCCTTTTATCATATACCTTTGGAAGGCTGCGCAGAGCAACAACGGCGTTGCCCTCATCAACCCTCTGTTAGCTGATGAAAATATTAATCAAGTTAGGAAAACACAAATTTGTCCTTAAGAAATCTTTGTTCACTTTGCTTAATTAAGGCACATTTATGCATGGGACTGTTCATATTGTCCCAATTGTCCTTTTTAAAAGCTTTTTCACCACTGGGACTGAACTGACTAGTATTGTGTTGTTGGGCGTATCTTTCCATTCTTTTTGAACAAGGATACAATGTATCAAAAGACTGTGGTCATTGCCCTTGCAATTTCCTTACCTAATTCCCTTTTATATCCTTGAATGCATCATGTCCGCTCTTGTAATGTAAAAACTTTTGAGTTTTTTGAAGAGCTGACAAAGAAGATTGAAGGCTGAGCGATAGATGGTGTCTATATAGATTTTAGCAAAGCATTTGACAAGGTTCTGCACGGTAGACTGTTTAGGAAGGTGAGATCGTATGGGACCCAGGGATAACGAGCCAATTTGATGCAAAATTGGCTTGAAGGTAGGAATCAAACTTGAGGACTGTGACCGTTATCAGAACATTGAGTATAGGAATTGGAATGTCATGTTCTGGCTGTACAGGGCATTGGAGAGGCCACTTTTGGAATACTGCGTCAAATTCTGGTCTTCCTTCTATAGGAAAGATGTTGTTAAACTTGAGGGTACAGAAAAGATTTACAAGAATGTTGCCGGGCCTGGTGGGTTTGAGCTACAGGGAGAGGCTGAGCGGGCTAGGGCTTTTTTCCTTGGACTTTTGGAGGCTGACGGGTAACGTTATAGAGATTTATAAAATCATGAGGGACATGGATAGGGTGAATAGCCAAGGGCTTTTTCCTGGGGTGGTGTTGTCCAAAACTAGGGGTCATAGGTGAGAGGGGAAATATTTAAAATGGACCTGAGGGGTAACTTTTTCACGCAGAGGATGGTGCATGTGTAGAACGAGTTGCAAGTGGGAATGGTGGAGGCGAGTACAAATACAACAGTTAAAAGGCAACTGGATGGATATGTGAGTACATAGAGTTTAAAGGGGCATGGGCCAGACACTGGCAAAAGGGACTAGGTCAGAGTGGGAGTTGGACTGAAGGGTCTGTTTCCTATGACTCTATAACTTGAATTACAGTCAACCTGTCAAAATCTGAAACTTCATCAATTTTTAGCTCCTGCATTGTCTGAACTTCTTCCTCTGTCATGAAGACTTGCATGGCATCTTCTTGATTAAAAACAGATGGAAAATTATTCGTTCAGTAGCTTCACTATGCCACTTGTTTCTTGCATGCATAATACTCCTTTTTGGCCTAAATCATTCCCGTTCGTCTCTGTCACTTTAGAACATAAAACATAGAATATAGAATAGTGCACACAGTACAGGCCCTTTGGCCTGCGATGTTGTGCCGATCTATTATCCTACTAAGATCAATCTACCCTGCATACCCTATATTTCACTATCCTCCATGTGCCTATCCAAGAGTTGCTTAAAAGTCTCTAAAGTATCTGACTCCATTACCACTGCTGGCAGCGCATTCCACATGCCCGCCACTCTGTGTGAACCTACCTCTGATATCTCCCCTATACCTTCCTCCAATCACCTTAAAATTATGCCCCCTCGTAATAGTCATTTCCACCCTGGGAAAAAGTCTCTGACTATCCACTCTATCTATGCCTCTCGTCATCTTGTAATATCTATTGTTAATATTTTGTTAATATCTATGGGGAGCGCTTGGATTTCCTTTTATGTTAGCTACTTGTATCTTCTCATCCTCTGTCTTTACTTTGGATAATGCCAATAAAAGCAAAGTCAGTGGCATAGCTTGGGATGTCCATGTCCCATTCCAGGAACTTTGTAAAGCTTGGAGGATTGACAATGCTAAATTTCATACGGTTGTAATTCTTGTATATCTGAAAAGAATTACCTGGTTTTCTTGCATCTTTTTTTAGTTCACTCAATTTTGAGTGATCCCTTTGTTCTCTGTCTCAATGTCGTGACTGATTTGATTTCTTTTATAACCTTACTTGCTCCAATTAGATGATTTCAGTCTTCGATTTCCTAACAAGAAACACATACCTAATTTTATTATATAAAAACCAAGTGCTGGAGAAACTCCGGTTTGGAAATGTCTGTGGAGAGTGGAACAGTTAATGTTTCGAGTCCAATGACTGCCTTTTAGAACTGAAGAAGAATCGGACGTGAAATGTTAACTCTGTTTCTCTCTACATTTGATGCTGTCAAACCAGCTGAGTTTCTATAGCGTACTGTTTTTATTTGATTTCCAGCATCTCCAGTATTTTATTTTTATTTGAGTGCCTAATTTTCTTAACTTTCTGCCATTGTTTAAATCTTGAGAGCAGAAATCATTGTTTCTTAGACATGTGTTTGTATAAAGTAATACCGTTCTAGAATTTGGCAACATCCAATATAGATGGCATCTGACCAAGGTCTCATACAAGATCTATGCAATCTATTCAATATCTTATGTCTTACATTCTCTAACTCTGCTAATGTAGTTTTGCAGCATATTAGTCTTGTTACCTTCCTAAGGTTTTTCACGCACTCCTATTTTGGTGGAGTTGGGAAAGAAAAGAAGAATAAAAAAACTGTTGGTTCAAGCCCCATTGCAGGGTGTTGAATGCAAAATCTCACATCACAGAAATACCATGTGGGTCTTGATTTTGTCAGAGGTGCTCTCATTTGGATCCCTAATTACAAGTAGGCCCATCGACCTTTCACATAGATCAAAAATATCCCATTGCAATTTTGAAGATGATCTTCAGAGCATTTATCTCTCAACTGAATCCTTTTTAAAGTAGATAATCTAGTCACTTATCTCTTTATTTTTGTCATCTTACAGTGTGCAAGCTGATATTTCCTGCATTGAGGCAACTGATAAATGGCTTGGCACATCGAGAGATTGTGCCAGGTCTTTTACTTCTCTATCTTATTTTTCTTCCTTTCATTATATTTTCCATTCCCTTTTCTTTAACCCTTTTCTGTGCATTTAGCACAACATGTTCAATTACTGACCATCTCCAAATGTACTTAACCTGGTCTTATTGGACTCAAATAACTTGCAGTCATTATTCTCTATTTACCCGTGGACATCATCCAATATTCACAAAGCAAATATCTGTAAATGTACTAACTTAATATGGCAAAAGTGGTATAGAAATCATAATTCATCATTTCAAAAAAAGTGAGCTGTCAGTTTTTGATTTGTTCATTGCTTATATATTAGTATAGAATAACAGCAATTATATTCTTGACATCTTCAGGAAATATGATCCCCAGAGTCCAGGTTTTTGTAAAATATTAAAATATGTTGTTTCGGGAAGAACTGTTGTTTTCAGGATTTTGATTTCCCAGAATGTGAATTGTAAAGCATATCTTTTCCACTTATTGTGAGTCAAGTATTTGGTTGAAGTTTTTCCTGTAATTTAAGACTGAAGGCTGATTGTGTGATTGCCACCTTTACTGCTTCAAGTAAAGAAATTGCATGCAGGATTCATTCTCTGAAAAGGAGAATTATTTATCAGAATCTGGGGTGAATCTAGAATGAAACTTCACAATATGCTTATCAAAACACTGACTTTTCCAGAGTCATTTTTTTGTGGTGTGATTCTAGTGTTGAATACACTGCAGATGACCATCCCTGCTTTTAAATTTTATTTAATTAGCTAATGAACAATTAGAGAGCAGTAACCTAGTTGAGTGATTTGGGTATCATGATCTGCCAGAACAAAGTTTGAGTGGATTATTTTAGCGTCTGAAGTCTAACAATTGGATTGCAGTCGTAAATAAACCGAGGTGTATTGTGCAGTGAATCTTTCGTTTTCTTCGTGTTGTGCTGTTGTACCCTTGATAATATACTGTATATGACATAAAGTAATGATTCCTTATTTTGCCTTGAAGGTATGTTAAATCTGATATTGGACGTGCAATGTTACTGCTTTTTAGAAAAGTATAAGGAAATTTATCTACCCTATGTAGGCTTAATCAAATAATACAAAAGCAAAATGCTAATAGTTAAAACACAAAATTGCTGGTCAACAAAATACCTTTTTTGACATCGAATGTTTACTGACCAATAGTTTGATTTTCCCATCAGTATTTAGCATTGCAAATGTCCTAGTGGTTAATAAATGAATGCATTAATTATCTGAATGAATTAAGGTACAATGAACATTCGTTAAAGGATATGCCTTTGGAACCTTAATTATTTGTTGTCGTGAAGAATTTCTTGTGAAATTGTATATATTGGAATTAATCACGTGTTAATAATTGTGTTAAATATTTTCAAAATAAGTAACATTACAAATCAAGCATGCAGATTTAATATTTAAAGTTTGCTCTTTTTAAACTCTTGTATTTAATGTAATGTTCAAAATGTTTTCACCGAATCAATTGTATGAAATACTGAAAAAGACTGAAGTTTACCTTATTTTAGAGCACTTTACAATAAGTGGCTCATTTGGCTTTGTGGGGATTTTAAATTTTATTTTACTGTTAATCCATTTACATAATCTTATTTATCTGGATGTTTGTTAACACCATTATTGTTGTATATGATTTGAGCATTAATTGTTTTCATTTACTTTTTTTCTTTTGCTCTGTTCCTCTTTCTCCACCAATTATTTATCCTTTTGGCAGAGTATCCATCATCTAGAGTCTGGGTATTTGGGGGAGGCAGTTGTCCACGTTCCTCATGAATGTTACCCTGACCCTATAAAGGCCTGGGAGCTCTACACACCGCAGCTGTTATCATATGCTCGGCCTTTTGAGGCACCAGTAAGAATCATCAACCATTCTCTCCCTCTGTATTTCTGTGTCTCTGTCCAGCTATGTGCTATTTGCCTAAATCACGAATAGTTAATAATAACGTAGCCTGGTGGTTTGCTGCTTATTTCACTGTTTTTACACAGTGGTATGTAATAAGGTGTTCCAGTATTCCCAAAACTTTAAAGCAAGTTATTTTCAAACGCATATTGCAATGTATGATCAATTCATTTCTGATTTATTTTTCAAGAGGATATAACTAGAATAAAGTTTACCCTTAACTGGATAGTCTCTTTATATATATAATAGCCTGTCACATACGATTATGAGATATTGTTGTTGCGAGGTATTTCTCCATTTTAATCTATTACCATGAAATTTGATAATGATGGACCATGTAGTCTAGCATAGATTATTGGAGAATCAGAAACAAGGGTAAATGATGAATTTGGCACAAATTCACATAGTCAAGTACATATGAAGCTATACTGATTTCGCTTTTGAATTTAATATATTAAGATGCTCAAAACACTTTTTGTAAACCATCTCAGGGAATTTTCACAGTTGTGGTCAGTTATATTTGGAGAGGAGCAATGAACATGGTACAATTTGATTAATAGTGCCCTATATGATTTGTTAATTAAAACCAAGTCTGTTATGTAAACGGAGAGAACAGTGAAGAAAGTGATTGATTGTAATAATTATTACAAAGACTTCTGTGTAACATTGTTATCAGTAACTTACCAAATATTCATCTCTTATGCAACCCATCAGATATTCACTGTTCGTTGTAGTTTGAGTCCAGCTTTTAAATTGGGCACAACATCTACTGTGTAACATTTGGAATTTTGCGTACAACTCCCTTCATTTTATTTAATGATTTGGTATTTTACTGTTGATGAGTTAGTGATTAACATTATTTCCATGCGTTTGGAGGATACCAAAGCATAGATTATTGAGATTTTTAAAGAATGCATTCTGGGCTCGCTATTTTATGAATGTTTTATAAAATTTAAGGTGCATTTTCCTTTCTTGATCTGAAGAATACTGTTTTAAAGCAACATTTTCCAACTCTTAACAAGAAACAAAATTGATTCCGTGGCTTGTTGCTGTACCATGTGCTGGTGAAAGTAACCTCAAAATCATATAGCACAATTTGGCTATTTGGATGTCTTGTCTGCATTGAACCTGAGTGCTTCTTAGACCACTTTTCTGCTTTATCCCCAAGCAAATCCTATATTCTGCTTTTTTTTTGTTTTTCTCAGAGATTTGCATAATTTTAGGAGTTAACCTGTAATTTTTTGAAAATTGTGATTATTTACTATTGATCCTTATGATTATGCATTCTGCCTTTCTAACCTCACTCTTTATGCCCTCCTGCAACCTCAAGATTGTATTTATGTACCGTGATTTTACCCACCAGAGGAATTAATCCGTGTTTGTCTATGAATTCCTTTTGGAAAAAATCAGAAATGAATTTTAAATTGTTGCAATGTAATTCAAAAATTTATACAATCTGATTAATGAATTAATTTTTCAAACAAAAATTCATACCATTTGTGTATTTTGGTAGTGTTGGTGTGTTTTAATGCTGGTATATGCGTGGTATCTTCTAAGGCTATACTAACCAGTCATTAGTATATCAAATACTGCTAATTTAAGTATTTGGTAAATATTTGTTTTTCTACCTTCTAGTAAATTTCTCAATGACATGCCAGCAGTGAAATGTCTAAACAAATTGTCGCAAGGAATAAACTTCTGTTTCCTAAAATTGAGTTCTTTTATTCGAATATTTACTCATGCAGTTGACTTGAAACCTCAAAAAAAACTCATTCTATATAAATGTAAAATATCAATTTGTTAGCTAGGTGAGAAGATTTTATTTGTATTTGAACTGGGTAACATGCCAAGCCTAAATTCATCAGCTGATCCTTGTTGCCTTATAAAGGTGATGGTGAATGCTCTCCTGAACTGCTGCTGCTCTGGTGTTGACAGTGCTCCAGCAATGGTGCCAAGTGATAAAATTCAGGATTTTAATGAAGTATCAGTGAGGGATTGCTGCTATATGACCAGGTTTATATAGTTTGAGGGGAACTTGAAGGTATTGTGGCTATTTTGCTGTTCTTGGTTCTCTCTGGAGGAGACTGCAGGGTAGAATGGCACTGTCCAAGTAATCTACATGCATTGTGCTATAGCCTGTAGATTATTCCTGGTGCAGCCATAGCCTCAGAGCTGGAGGAGAAAGAATCAGCAGCAGGTTACCAATGAAATACATGCTCACCTATAATTGCTTTTGAGCTTTTCAGTGTTGCAAATTCCCTGGCCAATTTGTCCTATTAAGTTCTGAAGAAGGGTCACTGGACCTGAAACGCTAACTCTGCTTTCTTTCCACAGATGTTGTCAGACTGGCTGAGTTTTCCAGCAGTTTCTGATTTCCAACATTCGTAGTTCTTTGTTTTTGGTTTGTGCTATTAACTCTGGCAAACTTTAAGTGGCAAAACTTTGTTTATTCAGAAGTGATGCATTATTTAGACCTCCCCTGGTATGGTTATGAGATCGTTGAACTAGTTTAGTTTTTAATCAGTACTGACCATAAGATGTTAATGAAGTAACAGTTTTGGTGGTGGTACTGTTGGAAGGTGAGGAGATGGTTAGGTTTTATCTTGTTTAAGGTAAACATTGCCTTGTATTATTTGTGTTCTACGTATTAGCTCAAGGATAAATGTTATCCAGGTCTTGTTACAGATAGACATGGGCTGTTTCATTACTTGAGAAGTTATGAAGGAAGCTATATAGTTTGGGAAGTTTTATAGCTTTGCAGTAATTAGTGGATAGTTCAGCTCCACTCCATATGGTATGAAAATGTGCACATAAATACACACAATGTTTTTGTTTTTGTTGGCATGTATTTTTGAATAGTCGATAGGTTTGAATTTCTGTTGACTAAAATTTGAACTGAGTTGGTATAGCTTCAATGTGCATGGATTTTCAGTCATTTCTGTGAGTAGTTATTGTTCTTGTGTGTTGATGATTCTGCATAATTTGCTTATGCTTGCTCCAGTGCACAGGATAGCTGTTTTTTTTTAATTCAAATACATGCTTTTATATTCCTGAACCTTAAACATTCAAGATTGTGTAAGCCTAAAATGAAGTTGTTATGGATGAAAACTCACTATGTAGATTTCTGAATGTAAATTCAACATGGATACTTCATGTTCAAGTCCCAGGTATTACCTGTAGCAGCTGCAATCTGAGGTGCAGTCTCTGGCTAAAAGGAATAAAATCCCTATGTGCATAGAATAATAGAAATCTGTTTTTAAATAATTCTGGTAATTGTGTGATGGTTTGACAGATGAGCTATATGTTCAAAATCTATGACTTCAGTATTAAATGTCAGGAAACAGTTGAATGCAAATACAATACAATGTGGAAATCTCTCATTGGCTGTTTTCTCTTACAAGCTTTCTTCTCCCATTTAAGTGATGGTTATTCCAGTTGTTTAGCAGATTAAACTATGCGGAGAGAAATAATATTAAAGATCATCAATAGCTTTCCTTAGTTGACAGTGAAGTTTATGGTTTTATGGTTGAAACCAGATGCCTGATCTGACCTTCCTAATATAAGTGATTATAGCTGGGAGAATAAGTATTTCTGCTGCTTGAAGCAACTTTTGCCGGGAGATCTGCTGTCATGCCACGCTTGTCTGTTTTTATTTAATGATTATTAATTGTACAATGCAGAAGATGCAAGGATTTTAATTAAGTTTAGCTAGTTAATCTAGCTAAAATAGCCCCATAATTAAAGAACCACTGTCTAAATCCAAAAAAAAGTCTGCTCTGGATTACTGTTTTGTGTCTGAGTGTTGCTGTATTTCGTCTTGCATTCTTTGCTTGATCTGCTTGATGGAAGAAAGCAAATAGAAGATTCGAAATGACACTGGTGCCAGATTGGTTATTCACTGAAGAGCGAGCAGTAAATTAATACAGGGGACTTTAAGCTCTTCCTTTTAATTAAATGCAAACTTACTGATTAGTGTAAAATTTCTGTTGCTGAAGTATTTATTGTAGTAGGTGCCTGAGAGCTATGCATTGTTGTAAGAAAACTTGATGCTAAGCTGCTTACAGAAACCAATGTCATTGTGGTAGAAATTCTGAGCATTCAGTTAGTGGCAGCCCTGGCATTAACATTCTAAAACTAAATATTGTGTATTGGTTGCGATAGGAATATATTTAGTACATAGGAGTTGTTAGAAAAGGCAGTTTATCAATTTTATATAATTGTATACGTGGGTGAAACTTTGCTGATTTTATCTTCTATAGAGACAATATCTTTCTTTAAGGTAGATTACTACTATTTATGAACTCTCATTCCTGATTCCATAAATTGTAATGCAATCACATCCCCCAATCTCTTATAACTCCACTATGTCTAAGTCTGCCTCTGAATGTCACTTGCAACTGCAGAGTGTTATGGGCCAGACAAAGCCCCTTCAACATATGCTAAGAAGATAGCCTAGACCCTAACTCGTTCTTAATTTAAAGGTAAGTGTAAGGCGTTGTGTTCCAAAAGCAATTTGATTGGTCAAACCTTCAACTTTAAGCAAAGCACACTTTATTTTAACTGTAGTGTAAAAATACAGACAAAATAATAAAAGAATTGGCTTAACTGGAACTCTATGCAGAAATGCGTAACAAAATTAGATACATATATCTAATTAACAGCTCTAATACAATAATATCCCAAAAATATACCCTTGGCAAAAGCAAATGCAGTAAAATAGATTGTCACGTGCAATTCTAGCAGCAAGAAGAGAGCCCCACCTTTTAGCTGTAACAGGAATAAGAGCTTTTGCATGCAGCTTAAAGACCACGGCAACTGCAGAAAGCTAAAATTAAAAATCCTAGTTCTGTGGGAGCTTGACCCTACCCATTCAGGCTGCTTCTATTGTTCCAACCCTTTATTAAAAAGAAAAGCCCCAAGGCCTTACAAGATGTTTGTTCTAGTGGCTTTGA